GGAGATATATGAGTTGTAATTTACAAGTCGGTTGTGCATTGGTGTTACGAAGATGCATCAGTAACGTGATGTCATAACACGTGGTGTCATGCATGATTTGGTGAGTAAAAGATACAAGCATATAAGTCGAATGTTATTCGTTCCTTTTACCCTAACGAGACAAGTAATATTATTGGACCCCTCGATGATTTGGTGTTGACATTATAGTGTTGGGCCCACCCGGGACTGAATTGATGTGTTCAATTAGTAGTCTAATGAGGTCATCACAAATCAGGAAACTGGGAAAAATAATTTTGGACAAGTGATTGATTGTAATCCTTGTCTCATGTCCATATAATATCTTGAAAAACGGAGGAATATTTGATCAATTATCTTAGCGTCGATGTCTAATCAGATCAGCGTCTGGTAGTTGCTTTGGAAATTACGCTTTGCTGTTTAATTTTGAAGTTATACATGCAATTGTAGTTACAGACTTATCCAAGTGGGAGACTGCTGGATTAGGTGTCTAAGCCAATAACTAAATTGATATATACTTGAATAAAACCAAAGTCTTTTTTGGGTTGGCCTCAAAACTAGTAATTGATGGAATGACTTTCGGAGAGAGAGGTTGATTTATTGGTTTATAACATGATTAATAAATAGCAATAAATAGTTTGTTAATATATTATGAGATGAATATATTAAATATAAATAGTATTATTTAATTAATAATTAATTAGAAATTAATTGGAATTAGTTTTGGGATTAAGTGGATTAATTAAAAGTGCAAGGACTTAAGCTATAATTGTTCAATAGTTGAACAATAGAAGGAATTTGGATCCTTCCTAGAGGGAATGAAATTTAGGAGCCTCCAAGGGTTTCTAAAATGTCCCATGTGGATAATAAGGGAACTAGATAAAGTCAGATTTGAAGTAATATTATTTTATTTAAAATTAGGATTATCTAGGGTTTTTACTATCAACTATAAAATAGGGCTCCTTGGACACCATATTTTCATTCCATGCACACCTAGAGCTAGAAGAGTCGAAATTCTGCTTCCATCTCCTTTCTCCTCTCAAGTCTTCCATTGCTAGGGTTTAGGTACAAACCATTAGAGACATCATAATTTTAGTGTTGGCTTTCCAAGCAAATTGAAGAAAGGAATTCTTGATTATTTATAATAATAATCAAAGAGGTATGTAAACCCTAATCCTAGTAATTTCAATTATAGTAGGCTTTCCTTAGGGTTTATGATGTTCAATTGTTTATTCCTTTCAATAGAGAAAACTTAGATCCAAAGTAGGTTGCATATGAACTTAAGAGTTAATTTGTTTTGCCACATGTATTAATTATAACCTATAAAACCCATCGCATTACTATAATTTGACCTTCATGTTTAATTTTGGTATTGAATCATATTATGAGGACAAGTGTTCCAAGGTAACTTAATATGAGTACACTTACCTTGGGACACTTGTCCTCACAATATAAGTATTTTATATGTGTTTCCTTTCTTTTCTATCTTATAATTTTGTATGTTTATTTGGATTACGAAATGTATAAAATATGTTATTTTCTTGATATTATGGTTTATGATTTGGGGACGTCCTTTTTAGCTAAGGAGATTCTTTTGAAAATGGATTTCCATTGTAGGGGTTAAACTTACTCTTTAGTATTATGGGTGTAATTGCCCTTTTGGTTTTCATTGTGAGTTACTAGGAATACACATCCCTTATTATTGTTTTTGTGTTTTGAAATTATCTAACATATACTTGATTGCTAGGTGCTTGTATGAGGATTATTTGTACATTCATGAAATTATATTTTCAGAAATGTTTTTGGTTGATATAAATCTAAAAATTCTTATTTTAAGAAAAGAGATTTTGGCATTCTACTTGTTCCATACATGCATATCATGCTAGGATGGTGTGACTTTATGGTCCTGGGTACCCAATGGACAGTTGTTTGCTACTTGTTATTTGTTTGTGAGTAGATTACTAGATAATCCTCATGTACAAGAGTAGAGGCTCGTTACCCATCGTGCGACCTAAGTTGGATGGCTCTTAGTGCCTTGTTTGAGGTGTAAGGGAAAAAGCCGACAATTTCACTTATCGCGCGTTCTTCACACATGGCCATCAACCTTTTGTTGTCGGATATGAGTGTAAAATTGGCAATTTTGTCTGTCATGAGTACTGCACATCTAATGTTTGTTTGTCAGTTGGACTTTGAGATTGATAAGGGGTTAGGAGTAGTTACATACATTACATCTTACTTATTTTGATTGATCTTTTGTTTACCCCTTTGTATATTGTAAGACTTATTTGTCTCTTTTTAGAAACACAAATGTTTTTGTTAAATCTTTTGGGCATATGACACCCTTTTTGCTATATGTTTTTGGATGTTTTGGAAACACTGAATTTAGCAAACTAGATTTCTATCCTATTTTAGCTCACATGAGTATTTATTGGTTTAACTATTTTAATTTGGATTTGAATATTGAAGGGTTTAACTTTAGATACACCTACTTGGTATCGTTTATTATACAATGAAGTTATATGGGAATTGTCATGAATGACAATGTACTTTGTTAAAAGTTATATTTTGCCCCAAATTGATTATTAATGTTTTGTTTTGAGGATGTATGGGTTTATACATTTGTGTATGAGTTGAATGTTCACTCATACACATTCAGTATAATGTCAAACCTTAAGATTGTCCTCACTAGGCTCCTCATAGCCTAACCCACTACATTGATAAATTTTGCAGGTTAATAGATATTGTTAGAAGCTTAAAAGACTCATAAGATTTGAATATTTAGAATATGTTTGGTCCGTATTGTCTTCTTAAACCTTTGTTTTGATATTTGTTGTGACACTTTCATAGGAAAAGTCTTTATTAAACCACTAGTTGTTTGAAAATTTGTAATTGGGATCGTTATCCGGTTTTGAACTCTAAAAAACATTTTGATTAAGCTTTAGGACAATTTTTCGCAAAAGAGTTATCTAGAAATGTTTTTAAAAGTGTTGATTAAAGGGTATTTCTAATAGGCCCATGCAATGGGTGTTGTATTTACTTACTTTAGATGTTGATATGGTAATGCCTCTCACACCATCACCTCACAAGTCACCTAATTATAAGCCTCCACAAAAGCAGACACGACGAGATATCGACAAATGTTCATATGCATCCGACCCACCCACCGCCACCACCACCATATAATGTATAAGCAATAGATAAGGACCAAATGATAACGAAATAACAAAAGAAGCTTCAAGAATGTCTAAGGTAGTTGGCAACACATGAGATGCGCATTTTACAACTCGAAGTTGCGGTGTGCATACATATACATCCTAATAATAAACATTCCATAAAGGATGATGGTATCTCATAGGGTTGGAGATACATTTTTCACACCCTCGCCGAAGGCAGAAACGTCGAGCCGTGACACAGTACATTGATTAGCCAAATCATAAAGCATAAAACGAACAACACATGATCCTTTTTATTAATAAACAATGATTACATTGATTTTTATAGGATAATAACTATTTATTCCCATGCATCTTGTCCTTACTTGCGATGATCTTCTCCTTTTATGATTCCCTAGGAATACATGCGATTTGAAAACGGTCAACATAATGTTGGTAAGTTCACACGTTTTTATAGTTTTATTAAGAAAACTCTTTATATAGTATATGATCTTTGTTTACGAATGTAATTAGTATCATAACTCATTATACTTTAAATTTGTGCATTACTTCTATCATTTTTTTTGTATTTAAGATATATTTGACAACCAATAAGTTACTAATATACTACTTATCTTTATATTGGATTGATTATTAATATATCTTTTTCTATGGATGTATTCATATCATCTAGTTTCCTTACTTTTATCATTATTCTTTATAACTTATTTTCCTAGGATAACTTACTCCTTTCGTACTTATCTTATAACCTTTCTTTTATAAATTTTTATCCCTTTTTCTTATCTTTTCATACTATGACTACCTTCAAGGCGTTCCCCTCTAGGTAGTTCAAATAATTAAGGTTGATGGACAATCTTACAATGAATTCTTATAACCGAGCTATTTGACTTAATATTTTCGCCGCCACGACACTTCATTGGACGGCCAAAGACTATAAATTTATGCCTTAGGAGTTGTAGCTAGAAATTGCAGGTGCGGATGTCAACCCTATATAAATCTCTACATACCTTTAACGCTCACTTAAGATTAACGATAATAGGCCTGATGTTAGTTGAGCTTAATCAACTAAAAGATGAATAATAAGACTTATTTAACAACTAGTTTGTTTAATCTTTAAAGTATGATTATTTATCTTTAGTTTGATTTCCATACTTATATATATATATATATATATATATATATATATATATGTATATATATATATATATATATATATATATTAAAAACAATTTCGAATACAATTAAGGGTCTCCGCCTAGGCACCGATTAATCATCGCTTAGACCGATTAGTTGTTTAACCTCCGTCGACTGCCCGATTACCGCCTAACGATTTTTACAACCTTAGACTAAATATGTACGAATTGAAAATTATATAACCCTTTTAACTCTTTTTTTCCAGTTTAACCTGGAGTAGCCGGCTATAGAGACTGAATGTGTATAGAAAAAACAAGTTAATTGGTTAAATATAGACAAAAAAAATTCAGTGACTAAATATCTACAAAATAAAAAGTATATTACCTATTAAATCATTTTTTAAATAAAACAATATTTAAAAAATGTTTATATGTTCCTAAAACCAAAATCAATGTTGTTTTGGCAAAAAAAAAAAAGTCCCTCCATATCAGCTAACAAACAAGACATGTCGCTTTTTATTAATAACAACACAAACAAGATCATCATAAATAGGAGAAAACTAAAATAAAAATTATATTAATTATAAAGCTGATTTTGATATTTTCAAGATTTACATTCTTTGGGGGTTTCATTTTTATTTTTGTTATCATTTTTGTAAAATCTCAATGGGTATTTTTAAAAAGAAAGAAGTAGGTAGCCATGAAAAATACGACTTCTATAAAGAGTGCCAAAACCCAAAGAATCAATAACCAAAAACACACCATGGAGATTGAAAGAGTTCAAGAAATAGCCTCACTCTCAAACCTCAATGGCACGATCCCAATTGAGTTCATAAGATCAGTAAACGAACAACCAGCAACTACCACCATCCATGGGGTGACGCTGGAGGTTCCCGTGATCGATCTTAACGACCCTGATCACCAAAAGTTGGTGGCTTCAATCTTTGAAGCCAGCAAAGATTGGGGGATCTTTCAGGTCGTGAACCATGACATACCAAGTGAAGTCATAAGCAAGTTACAAAAAGTTGGTAAAGAGTTCTTTGAGTTGCCACAAGAAGAGAAAGAAGCCATTGCTAAACCAGTTGGGTATAAAGGTGTTGAAGGGTATGGCACAAAGCTTCAAAAGGAAGTGGAAGGGAAGAAAGGCTGGGTGGATCATTTGTTTCATAGGGTTTGGCCACCTTCTGCTATCAACTATCAGTTTTGGCCCAAAAACCCTCCATCTTACAGGTTTCATTCACTTTCTTCTTTTTTTCTTTTAAGTTTCTTATATATTCTTGAAAGGAAAATAAACAGTTGTATGTGTATGGTTTGGTTTAGTTGTTTTAGTCTACAATTAAACTAAATATGTATGGTTTAGTTAGGCAGTGTAAACCAAACTGGACAAATTAAAGGACGTGGCCAAATTATTTGAACTACTAACCATTAACAAAACCGAATTATTAAGTTTAAATAGTTACAAATCAACAGTCAATTATAGATCTTCGAAACTCGACAAATTTAATTGGTTTACTCCTCATTTCGTCCAAACTATAGATACTTCAATTTTACAAAAAGAAAATAAAAAAAATATAATAATTACACATTTGAACAAAAAAAATTATAAATTAAACATTTGTGCTTTCGCAATCATGTCCACTTTGGATCATTTATCATAATTTTTCTTAGAGTATCTACTGTTATGGCAATAAAGAATGAGGTCGAAGAAATAAATAAATGAACAGGTCCAAACTCTAAACTGCCTGATGGCATTGAATTATGGAAAGTCACATGGGTCGTGGGCCTCCCACAATTTTAGAGATATTTTAGGAACAGCAAAAATATTTGAAAATCAAACATTAAATGGAACTCTAAATTTTTGGGACGTCATATTTTTTGGGATGGGTTTTAGGCCAGATACATACATGGATATAAGATTGGATATAAAAAAGTTCGTAGCTTTGGGTTGATTATGCCATTCCATTACCCGATCACATACCTTATCCCATTTAAACGATCCGAATCATTTATATATTTATAATATTTTATATTATTATAATAATATATGATAGTATTTGAAATATAAAGTTTTTTTCTATTGATGGTACGGGCTTTGGCTTTATTATTGATGGTAGATTGAATGATTAATGGTACTGGCTTTGGCTTTATTATTGGTTTATCATAAAATTTTGATATTTTAAATTTTTATATGTTGATGATTATATTTTTATAACTTTTTTAGATATTAACTTGTTGAACCACCAAAGATGTGTCGTTGGTTCTACCATCCGGAGGTCGGACAGTACCACCAAAAGTGTGGTTGAACCGGTTGGGTAAACCATCAACTCACTTCAATTCCATTCAAATAATTTCCAATTCTATTACAACATTTTCAAATTTCATTCATCTCTTTTAAAAAACAAATGAATCCATCCGCTAGGAAATATGTTATGGAAGAAAATCCTTATTATTCATCTTCCTCCAACAATGAACCTGCTAATCCTCATCTTTCTCTACTTTATTTCGAATTTCACAAACACTTGTTCAGAGTAATGCAAGTTCCCACACAGTTAGGCATTCGAGAACTGTTGTCCAAAGAGACTCTGAAGAGGTAGAAAAACTATTGATCCAACATTTCTTTGCAAATAATGCAACCTATGAAAAGCAATTCGCAGAAAGTTTCGGATGAGCAAACATTTGTTTATGCATATTGTTAGTGATTTAGAGATGAATTATTCATATTTTCAAACAATATGGGGTGCAAGGTTTTATAGAAATTTCAGTGCACGATAAAAATACACCTTAACGATATGTCAACTAGCATAGGAGAACACATTAGACGTGTTAGACATGTATTTGAATATGTCGGTGAGAACTTCATGTGAAAGTCTTCAAAACTTCTGTTATGGTGTTGTCCACTATATATATATCCGAATATTTGAGCCAATCAACATCGACCGACATTCAACTTTTGTACGATGTATATACCATACATAGATATCCTCGAATGATTGGTAGCATTGACTGCATACATTGGAACTATAGGAACCGCCCAAGAGAATTATGAGGCCAGTAGTACATGAGAGGTGATCACAAGTATCCAACAATAATAATTGAAGCAGTGACGTCACAAGATTAATGTTTTTGGCATGCTTTTTACAGTGTAATCAGTTTTGAACAATGACCTTAACATCATCTACCAATCATCGCTATTCAACGAGAAATATCTTAGTTTACCACCCAAATGTAAATTTATTTTGAACGACAAATAATACAAACATGGCTACTATCTCGCAAATCAGATATAACAGACTTGAGCTACTTTTGTGAAATCACTTCCACATCCATTAACTGCTAAAATCGGTTCAAGGCGGCACAAGAAGCAGCAAGAATGGACGTTGAACATGCTTTTGGCGTCCTAAAATCTCATTGGAGCATAATACAGCATCTAACACGGTCAATGTCATCGAATAGAACAAGAGATATAATGTACATTTGCATTCTACTACACAATATGATACTACAAAATAAGTGTGCTGCTATATTTCCGGTTGATCATAATGATGCCCTATTGCGAAAGAAATGAACACATATATGATCCATGAATTGCGCGATGTAGTATCCCACCACTAACTTCACTCAGTTCTCTACGTGATTACATTGAACATGCCTACATATCAACTACAAATAACTAGTTTTTCTAATTATCATTTTTACCGTTAAAATTATCGTTTTTGAATTTAAATTTTCATTTTCTCGTTTTCATGTAGTATGTTATTTAATGAAATGTTATATTTAATTTTATTTTTTATATTTTAATTTCAAATTAGTAAATGTTTAATTTAAAAATAATAAATAAATAAATTGAGTGAGTTGTGAGAGATGAAAGAGAGATAAATTTTCATATGTTGTGTAAGAGAGATAAAAAATTGATATGGTGGAAGGTATGGACTTTCATCACTCCCAACTTAATTGCTACCTCACTTCCACATCGATTTTTTCTCTCTCTCCCATCCCATAAGATATGGAAATTCATTCATCTCATCCCTCAAAATCTCTCATTCTGTATCTTTTAAATTAAAAATTACCAATTTAGAAGTAAAAAACAAAACAAAATATAAAATAAAGTACTACAAATGGTAAATAAAAAGGTAAAATGATAATCTAAATTTAAAGACAATAATTAAAATCCTAAAATTATAACTAAAAATCCTAAAACGATTAAAAAACCTAAAATGAAATTCTAAAATTCTCAACTATATTACTTTGTAATTTTTCGTTTCTTTATAGGCACCGTGCTCAACAAACCTCCAATCAAATGTTTACGCATATTAAGAAAGTACTAAATATTTTAAACCTCTTTACAAGCTCCTTTTCTTTTTCAATCCATTTCATTGACTTTTCCGGTTTGGTATAATCTCGTTCGGTCTCGACGATGGGTTCAAGTTATTCGCTTGATTCCTCATTTTGGTTTGATGGATAGTAGTGGGTTTGTCGCTAGACTCTTTGAATTCTAGGTTTTGAGCTTCACAAAATTGTGATACTTTGGGAGGAGAATATTCGTATTGATTTTTCAGAATAGATTTTGGAAATTGGGGATACGAGTTATAACCAAGATTTTTTGGAGGAATATGAAACTGGTTGTAGAATTGTTGCATCGGGAGTGACTTATATTGTTGTTGACGATATTGGTATTGAGGGTAGTTTGTGATTTGAGTTTCCAGAACAAAAAATGATGGTTCTTGAAAATTACTATAATTTTGTCGATTGTGTCTTAAGCTAGAACCGATTTTGTAGGATATTTCACAATAGTCCATTTAAATTGGAATTGGAATGCACTTGGATAAAATGATACTGGAATTGGAGAGAACATGAATGGAATGGAAGAAAGATGGAACATAATTAGAAAGAATGTGTGGTTATTTGAAGTGGTAAAAGATTGTATTCTCCCATTAGTCGAGAGAGTGTAGAGAGAAAGAGAGACCCAACGATGTAGTTAACCCATGCATTCTCCTATTAGGCGGTATCGCCTTTGCTCGCGATTATCATGGCAGTGATACCACCCTTAAACCGTTGTTTAAACCGCTCGACTCCGTTTATCCTTAGGATCCTCTAACAACGCATTAAGGAAGGTTTAAGGTATATCAAAGATATAAGGGATCGTGTCTCTACTAGAGATAGAAATAAAATTTAATAAATGTTATTGACATTAAAAAACGGGTATTTTTATTTACATATTAAGGGTAGGGGAGTGGTACACACATGTCATACCACTTCTATTTCTTGTCGTTTAAGAAGGGGGGGGGGGGGTTGCTATGGATTTTTTTTTAAAATTTTGTTAATTGTTTAAAATGAGCTAATTTATATAAAACGGAAATTTTCATTAAATCAAAAGGGCAATTACATGATAACAAAAAACAAGACACTTGAAATTAAAACATTGGAAAAATGAAACATAAAAATGACATCACTTCAGTCTCCATACCGGCGCATTGTTGAACACCCCTGACAACTTTCCAAAAGTCTACACAACGGTGATGTTTGTTCTTTTCTTGGTGGAAAAATGCAAGAGTAGTATTTAACACAATTCTATCATTTTCACCATTTGGGCAAGCACGTTTGACTTTATTAAAGACAACGTAGAACTCTATTACACTTTATTTGCGTGCTTCTATTTGGTGTAGATTTGATATTTGCTTCGGTAGTGACAACGATTCATTTCGTTGAGCAAACGCTGTGTGACTTTGTCCTAAAATGATGACCTACTTCCGTTGATTCCGACCCTCGGGTCCTCCAATACATTGACCCATGCACGAGCCAAAATGACATCCTCTATCGTGGTCCAAGGTACAATCAGGGAACGAGTTGAGCGTTTGAGGAAGATATTTTGAGAGAGGTAAAATAAGCAGAGATATGAACATTAAATGGTTAAGAGTGATAAGAAATTAAGATGATTGTTGATATTTATTATGGTAAAATTGAAATTGATAATAATTACCTCTCTCCTTTACAAGTTGTTATCGAGTTGGCATGCCGAACTCGACATGCCGAGCTAAGGATGTGACATTTTCCCAGTCCTCTCCCATTAGCCTTAGTCTAGTTTCAAGATACACTCCTACCAAGAATTTGACTATTTTTCATTGGAAGTCAACTTATCTTTTTATGTTTTTTTAAACTTTTATCATTTTTTAGTGGCACCACCATATAATAATTAGGTTAGGATATACTAGACTAAGATGGTCTACAATAAAGCTTGAATGTTACTATACGATACATCTCATTCATATAAGTTAAATCATATGTGTCCACACACTATTTCACTCACAATGAAGGATATACAAAACAATTTGGGGGTACGTATAGAATTTCCCTAAAGTTTTCTGGGGAAAGGGAGTGTTGTTGGAGAAAAACAGGGACTTGCTCCCGAAGGAATAACAATTAACCAATCACATTAAGTGACATTATTATGGGAATACACACATATTTTGTTTTATGTAAAGTGAAAAAGGTTATAATAATTATTAACTTTTCTTTTAAAAGAGTTAAAATGTTAAACACATATAATGATGCTTTAGTTATATTCAGTTTTGTACTTTTTATAAATATATGTTTTAAGTCGAATAATAAATTTAACAATGTATATTTCAGAACCAAGTTGGTTTTATACATTTTTGGTAAAACAGAATACTATCACAGGTTTCAACATCAGATTCTGATGTCTTATGACAGTTGGAATACAAAAAGTGTGTAGGTTGGATTTTGCATATAATAAAAAACGTACATCATCATTCAAAACAACAAAATTTACCTAAGTAATCTTAAAAATATTGAATTGCCTATAATACGAATTGATAAGAAAACATCATAAAACTTATGAATAATAGTTTATTGGATATTTTAGATAATAGAAAGGTTTGTATGATTATGTAAATTTGATTTTATTCAGGGAAACAAACGAGCAATACACAAGTATGTTGATAGGGGTAGCAAACAAATTGCTTGGATTCCTATCAAAAGGACTTGGATTAGAAGAGGGTGAAATAAAACAAGGGTTGGGTGGTGAAGACTTGACCTACATGTTGAAAATAAACTACTACCCACCATGCCCATGTCCCGAACTTGCTCTTGGGGTTGTACCCCATACAGATATGTCCTCCATCACCATACTTGTCCCAAATGAAGTTCAAGGTCTACAAGTGTTTAAAGATGGCCATTGGTATGATGTTGCATACATCCCTAATGCTCTCATTATTCACATTGGTGACCAAATGGAGGTAAACCAACTCACTTCATTTACTACATCTTTATTTGTATCCGTATCTGTATCTCTATCCATATTAATCATGCATAGGATGACCTTCACCCTTAAAGATAAAAGTGTTATTATAGGTTTTTGTGTATCTGTTCTATATATGTATATGTTTTAGTGTTAAGAGGGCTAGGATGGTTTTCATCCTTAAAGATTGAAAGATTTTCAAATGTTTGGACAACACAAAAAGAAAAGTTTTTAGTTTATGTCACTATAACTGAGATTATTAATGGTTATTATGGCTCTTTGATATTTATATGACTAAGTAACGAAACAATACAAACGAACGGTAACGATGAGTCTATATGTGTATGGTCATTGTAACAAAGATATAATGATTTTTATATCATTCATAGAATTTTTTTACAAATGCTAAAAGCCAATACAAATAAAAAAGATATATTTTTTGTGTTTGGCAGATATTGAGCAATGGAATATATAAGAGTGTGTATCACAGAACAATAGTGAACAAAGAGAAGACAAGAATGTCTTGGCCAATGTTCTTAGAGCCACCATCAGAGTTTGAGGTCGGACCAATTCCAAAGCTTATTAATCAAGACAATCCACCAAAATACAAGACTAAGAAGTACAAAGATTATGTCTATTGCAAGTTAAACAAGCTTCCACAATAATATATTCGTGTGTGTGTGTTTTTGCTTTGATTTTCTTGAATATGGGATTGTAATTTGTAATACTAGACTATTGGATTTTGGTTTAAGGTTGTTTAAGCATAAAATTAGTTGACTGCATTGGTGGAGGCAAGAATTTTTTTTTTCCATAGAGACAGTATATAATAACCATAATATAAAAAATACAAAAATTAATTATATATTATAAAAACTTAAAAGGAACTAATTTTTAATGGACTTGCTCACATGTATAAAATGGTCAATCTAATAACCTAAAAGTTCTCATATATTTCTGTTGTAAGAGAAAAAAACATTTCTAAATGGATGCCACCAATTTTAATTATCACTTTTTTTTGTATAAATCAATACATTTAGAATTAAAATCAATATACATATCAAACTATATGGAGAAATATCGATTCTATTCTTTTCTATATTTAATTATGACGAATTTCCTAACTTTTTTTGTATTTATAACTTTTTTTGTATTTATAAGCATACAATCTACAGTACTTAACTAATTAACTGTCAGAGTTCAGAATCTGGTCTTGCATACAGTTTGTTAGGAGCCGCCTCCTGGTCTTTCATACAAACTGCCAAGGGTTACCCTCGGGTCTTCCTACAATACATAAACCAAATGGGCCGGCATTGGTGCCTTCGACCCATAGAACAGTGAGGAGACTCACCTCGAATGTAGAAGCTCAGTGAAAAAATCCCTAGCTACTGCTGTGATGACTTCCCGAGCTATCAATACCAAAATAACACCCAATTAGCAATTGGGTTCCAAAATAAGATCCAATCCATACTTGGGGTAAAATGACCATTTTACCCCTGACCCAATCATGAACCAAAATTGAGGCCCAAGCCCAAAAACCAAAAAGGCCCAAAACTACAAGATCCACAAAACCCCGCTAATGGCCCAATTTTCCAAATTGGGCCTAACCCATATGGGCCTTATCCTAAAACCCAATAATTCCTTGTCCAATAATAAATCTCAGGTGGCCCAATGCCCAAACAGCCAGTCCAATAAAGTGGCCTAAAGGAATGCAAGGCCTAAGACGCAACAACCCAAAATCCAACAGATCGACGAACGTGGGGCGTACGCTCAGTTACGTTGGGCGTACTCGAGGAGTTCTAGATCGTGACCAAAAGGAGGTACGCTGGGCGTACCTTTAGTTACGCGGGGTGTAACCGCTATTTCTCTAAAACTTATTTCATGACTTAATCCATTAAGTCCTTCCGTCAAAACCTCAGAAGACCTTCCAACTAAGCTCTTAATGCATAAAGTCAGCACCTTTATGCATTTGCATGACTCAATGGGACCCAACAACCAACTTAATCCATTAAGACCCATTCTAATCCAACTAGAACATGCATGGACCATTCTTAAACATCAAGCAAGCATTTTTATGAAATATAAACATCAGAAGAGACAAGATCTATCACTCCTAGCTCCTGGAATGGCTCAAACTCACAAGAAGAACTTAATACACCAAAACAATCCTTAATCTTGCCCTAAACTCAAACTTGCATAAAAGAAGACAAGATGAGAACTTTACACCTTGAATGAGCTGGAAATGAAGCTAAAAGTTTGGATCTAAACGTCCTCCCTTGAACCACAAGCTAGCACCAAGCACCCTTTTCTTGAAAATGAGCAAGAACACACCAAGAACACACTTAGATCTCACAATCACTCAAAATGAGGTTAGGGTTTCCGAAATGAGGCTTAGAAGGCAAAGGAGGCTGAGAATGAAAGAGCCCTGAGCTCATAAAGATGTTTAAATAGTGCCCAAACCCTAAAAATTAGGGTTTGGCACTCAGACCATTACGCTGGGCGTACCCAGCCAGACACGCGTGATCCTTCCTCGCCTGCATGGGACTAATTTGCCAACTATTTCCATTATGGGCCAACTCTGCCAATATCTTCAAAATGCCATAACTTCCTAATCTTAGGTCTGTTTCAAACGAACCTTATATCCACGGAAAGGTGGCGAGAAGTCCTACGCTTCTAATAACACACCCAAGTCTTAAAACCTCCCGAACAAACTCGAAATCTATAAAAGACTGAAATATTAAAGTGCAATTTAACCCTTGACCTCCGAAGACACAATCGAACACTTGGGTCACTTAGACCATAACACCCACACCCGAGAAATGGCAAATTCTTCCTTTCCCAAGGCCCTAAGCCTTATGGCCACTGAAGATTGGGCTGCAGCCCCGAATAAAGAAGCAAATCCAAAACCGAGTGTTACAGATTTGATCGGCTCAATACCTTCTAAGCCAAACGTCATCATGCCAATCCCGCACATTAGTGCACCATCGCGATGAAAACCAACTGGTCACATACTAAACTAGTCCACACACCTACTCGGCTCCGACAACCCAACTTAGCTATCCACTAACAACACTCATGCTTACCCCTGATCAACTAATCGACAACAGCACTCGGGCTTACTCCCGATCCACTAACCAACAACAACATCCGAGCTTACCTGTAACGTCTGTGTTTCGAGGCTAAGCATTGATGCGATGATGTAATAGTCTAGGTCAACCGTTGTAACCCATTTTAGAGTAATAAAGATGATTTACTTGAATATTATGTGAATTATGTGCTTTTGTGTGCTTATTATTTGTTTATAATAATATAATAAATAAAGGATAAAAATAAGCGTCAAAAATAAAATGTTAGATAAGCCCGATATCGATAAAGAAAGTTGTAGTGGTCATGACAAGGATTCCGGAGATATAAAGAACATCGAAATCCGCGTTTTAACGAAGAAGTTATGGCTTGTCGAAGTTTCGCGACAGACCCGACACGATACTGCGTGACGTAAATAGTGAATTTACGATAGAGGACTTTTTAGCCTTAACAATCTAAACGAAGGTCGTAGTGTTCGTTAAACCGAGAGTGTGCATAAAAAGAACGCTCAAATATGACAATGTATGAGGAAGTTATGATTTTTCTAAGTTTCGACTTAGCAGTATGCGGCCCGGAGTTCGAATATTAGATCGAATGATTTCTGGCCGACACAACCTAAACAAGAATCGAAGGTCTCGTTAATAGTAGCGCAACGGTAAAAAGACAGATGAAAACGGACGCCGGATAAAGGAGTTATGAATTTTAAACGGACTTTCGTGTCTCGGTCTGTTAAAAATATAAATTTAAAAATAGATTCAAAATTAGCCGACGGGGTCTAAACTAAAGTTGTAGAGTACGGTCTCACCTACGCGTGGATATAAAGAATGTCAAAAACGAAGCTCGTATGCGAGACTTATGAATTTTAGAAGTCGAGATGAGAAATTGCGAGCTGATGCGAGGGGTACGCCCAGCGTACCTTCGGACGCCCTGCATACCGAAGTACTCCCTGCGTACGAGGATGAGTACGCTTGCGTCTTGACTTTTCCTACGGCTCCGAGACGTCGACGATGCTCCACCGAAGATCCTACGCGTGTCCACTACGCCCCGCGTACTTTGAACCTAGGCCCAGCGTAGTGCGATGCCTCGCACCTATAAATAGAAGGAAGCCCCGGAGCGCCCGAAGGCTCCGAGAAAAAGAATTTTTCGGTTTGAAACTCTTCCCGCGCGAAGCCCGATTTTCAAACAAACTTCCCGGTTTCGTCAAAGAAGATTATTTTAAGAAGCGAAGTGTTGTCCGAATCACTCCTTATCAGGTGAGTGTATAGTCACTTTCATCTTACACATAGATATGAAGTATTTATATAAATTATGTGCTATGTGTATATATTATCTGTTTACTTGGGATCTATGCTGAATGAAAGATCTGAACCTCTTTCTCTTCAGATCTGAACTTTTTCCTTCAGATCTAAACTTTTTCTTTCAGATCTAAACTTTTCTTCCAAATCTGAACCTTTTCCTTCATATCTAGACTTTCTCACTTCAGATATAAACTTTTCAGATCCAAACTGTATATATATATATATATATATATATATATATATATATATATATATATATATATATATATATATATATATATATATATATATATAAATATATATATATATATATATATATATATATATATATATGTTTTATACTTTGAGATATATGCTGTATGAAAGATTTAAACTTTGTTTTCCAGATCTGAATTGTATATATATTTTATATCTACGAATATGTTGGGTAAAACATGGGTAGATGAAATAGTTGGTGTGTGATGAAATAAAATGATGAGATGCCTCGATGTTGATGTTGATCCAGTCATCTAGCGGAGTATGGATGACGACCACAAACTTTTCTAGGAAGTCCAGTGGAACACTTATGGCTGAGGAATCCCCTTAGCAGTAGTTTCCATCTCGATGAAATTCCTTAGGATAGGTCCCTTATATTAGATGCTTTAGGGACGTAAGATGAGGATAACGGGAACGGGTAATCGGGTTTAATGATTGTTGAAAATAATAAACTTATTTATTGTGGGTTGAAACCCCTATTTTGTAACACCTGGTTTAAGTTGGAAAGGATTTATGCATGGACTTGGCGAGTTGGGAGGTCAACTCGTCGAGTAGGGTCGTGAGATCATGAAACGCGGAACGGGACCGACTCGGTGAGTCGACGTCCGACTCGGCGAGTCCGAGCTGTTTAAAGAAAACCCTAAAATTTGGGTTTGCCCCTATATAAACGTCATTATACGCCCCAGTAGCCTCCCTTAGCATCATAGAAAGACGTTTACGGCCGTACACCCTCTTGTGAGTGAAGCAAGATCAATTGGGAGCTTATCCTTGGAATTTTGGGGAGGATTCCAAGCTTGAAGAAGAAGTATCAAGGGGAAAACACTAGATCCAGCATCTAGTTCGTCTTGGGCATTGATTTGAGGTATGAATCTGTTATCTTAAGCATAAATTCTATTTGAGAGTGTGATCAACTTTGAGGAAGTGGAAGCAAACTTAGATATGGACCTATCACAAGGATATGGTTCCAGATCTGGACCTTCTTAGGCCCCAAATATCATAAAGTTGCATCTTTTATTGAGCTCATTCCCTCTCCATGCATAAGAACCTTGTTTGAAGGTTGGTTTTGGGTGTTATGGC